AAAAAATTTTTTGGTTAGAATGTTATTGCTATTGTTATTGTTATTATTATATAATAATATTGGTTATTGAAGAAGATTGATAATGAAAGATGATGGATGATTGAGTCTAAAAATTTTTTTTAATCTGAGACTAAAATAATTTAAGCTGAGACGAGACTATAATGATAAATTTAATAGGAGATTTAATGTTTTTGATCCACTAATAATAATTTAATCCGTGGAATATATAATAAAATAGAAAAAAATAGAATAATACATACACTAAGAAAATAAGAAGAATGTTTTTTTTTGTTTGTAAAATAAATTTTTTATAATATAAATAAACTACTTTAAGTGATAATAATAATATTATTAATTGATATATTTTTGATATTTTAATATCTAATATTTTTAATTTTTAAAAACTAAAATATTTGTATAATATTAACATATTTTAATGTGATTATTATTTTATTTATTATTTATAATTATCTATCATATTGTTAAAATATATATTTTTTTTTTTTTTTAAATAATAAAAATAAAAAAATTAATTAATTAATTAAAAATACTAACCACTCAAAAAAAAAAAATAAATGCACAACACAAAATATTATTAAACGTATAAAAAAAAAGAAGACCTTATGTATTATTTATATAAAAATTTTTTTTAATAAAAAAAATTTATATTTATTATTTTAATTTTTAAATTTTTTTTTTGAATAGGAGAAAGAAAAAAATTCAACCAAACATCAACAAACGATTAAAATTGTTTGATTTTATAAGGTTTGAAATATAATCAATTGAGTATGTGTGTGCTATGTGTATTTTAAGTGAACACAGTATATATATATTTTATATTGGTGTATGTGTTTAATATATTATTTATAATAAGGTTTTGTTGGTTGTGCAAAGGAGATGGTTATGGTTATATGATGTAAATTAGGAATATAAGGCGTTATTGTGTTATTATTATTTTTTATATTTATTTATTTAGCAAACAATTCTTTGTTAAATGGTATTATTATAATTATTAATAATTAATAATTATTAAATTAATTAATTATGTTGAATTATATTATTATTAATATATATTATACCAAGTATATTTATTCGTATCACAGATTTTCTAATGATTGATTGATTGATTGATTAATTGATTAATTGATTGGAGAAAAGATTTTATGTAGATGCGAGATGTTAAAGAGCAATGACGTAAGGTGGAGAAATGCAAAGAATTGCTAAAAATATTTCGAATAATTTTTTATTTCATTTTTTTATGGGAAAGATTATAATGTAAAAAAAAAACACATTTAAAAAACGAGCGAGAAATTTTTTGATACAGTAAATGAGTGAGAATGGTAAGATTTTAATGTAACCATAAATATTAATTAATTAATTATAAATAAAGAATGTGAGAATGTTTAT